AGGAAATGATAATTATAATTTAAACTTATCAAGCAGAAGAGCTCAATCAACTTTACAATGGTTTATTAGTAAAGGCATAGAGAAGAAGCGCTTGTCTGCTAAAGGTTATGGAGAGTCACAATTAATCAATAAATGTTCTAATGGAAAGGATTGTGAGGAAGACGAACATCAACTAAACAGAAGGTCAATGTTTCTTATAATGGACTAATTAATTTCCTACTTTGAGAAAAGCCTTAACTTTTAAAAGTTAAGGCTTTTTTTGTGCTCCATTACTTCGGGGGGGGGGGGGGTTGGCTCGGCCGACCGGGGTGGCGGCTCAATTCTGTACGGTATGGCTTGCCTCTAACCGATATTTGGTGTGTACTACAGCCTATGCGCGTCACCAGTGTCGCCGATGATTGCTTCGCCGCCATTGAGGGTGTCTTGACTCAAAAGAAACCCAACCTTGAAGAGCTCAAGTACGGACCCAATCCGGCTTGCTTGGTCTTCCGCCTCCCCCTTACCCGGCAAAGCACATGAGCTACACCATTTGGGCACCTGCTCCTTCTTTGCCCTCACATGTTGTCGTGCTGGCCATTCTCACAATTGCCCGATTCCCTTGCGCGTAGAGTTGTTTTTGAAAAGGCAGCGAGTGACGTCCGCCCACCCTTGCAAGATGCCCTCGAGCAGCTTTGTAACCAGATTGAGGTTTGTCCCACGCCTCTCTTTGGGTGCCTTTGTGTGCAACACCTCTTTTGCGCCATCCTGACCCGCCATCTTGATCTTGCACATTGATGTTCTTGCCGTCTTGAAGGTGGGCTTGGGTGAGACCTACGCCGTGTCGGCACTCCTCACTGAACCCGATGAGTCAGTCATTGTGGAAGCAGTTCTGCAACCCCATGTGGACAGTGTGCGTGGCTCTTCAAACTTGGATGAGGTGACAATTCAGTGCCTATCCATTCGCGAAGAGACGTTGCGCAACTACATGCAACACTGTGGCTGCATCTCGGCCCTGGAGGACAGTTCTACGCTGGTGCGCGAGCGTGGAAGCACCCTGAACAGCAGCATGCGCGCCCGTCGCTCCCGCCATCGCTTTCATTTTATCCAGGGCCACCGCTTCCGAGCCAGTTCCTACAAGAAACCCACCTTTTGCCACGTGTGCAACAATCTTATTTGGGGCCTCTATCTGCAAGGCTGGACCTGTGAGGACTGTGGCATGACGATCCACAAGGATCGCGATCGCTTTGGCTACGCAAAATGCAACGAGCAACTGGGGGCCGCCGACAAGTGCCCGGGTGTCAAGCAAAAGCGCTCGCTCTTCCCCTCCCGCCGCAAATCGCGTAACCGCAGCAGTCGCTATCCCAGCAGCAATGGTACTGCGAGTGGTGCGAGCAGCCTGCGACCCTCTGAATCTGAGGGCTCGCGTTTAAATCCCGGCAACTCATCCGAGGCCCTCGCCGTCCCCGGTGGAGTTGCTTTTAACGAAGATGACATGCCTTCGGCTGCCGAGCTAGAGTCGATCTCCCCGAGCCCCAAGTCACAGCGCGTGCCCCTAGAATCCGAGGGCAGCACCCGCAGCCTGGTTGCTCCTTCCATTGCAAGTGCCGCCTCGCCCGTCCATGAGGTGGAGCCCAGTGAAGAGAGCCTGCTGCCTTACCCAAGCCTCCTCTCAGAACCTAAACTCTGGGACGACAGCGTGGTCGACCAAGGCGTACTCAAATCCATTGGCAAGTCAGAGCACAAGCGCCAGCAAAGCATTTACGAGCTCGTGCAGACGGAAAAGGGCTACGTCCGCCACTTGGCCATCATGCAGCTCTTTCGCGAAACGCTGCGCGAAGATCGCGCTCTTTCAGAGGACAAGCTGTTTGATCTCTTCACTTCGCTTGATCAGGTCTACGAAAACCAACACCCGTTGGCCGACGCCCTAGTGGAATGCCAACAAGAGGCTGCCGGGCACGCCATCAAGTTTGTCGGCAGTGCCTTCGTGCGCGGCTTTGCTCAGCTGGACCTGGATGCCTACGCTCAATTCTGCGCCAACCAAAAGCACGCGTGGCAACTCTACGATGACTACATTCTGGTATGTTCTTGAAGCACCAACATATGCGGGCGCCTCACTACCCCGCCATGCTCGTCTACAACGACTTTGGCACGCTGTCCTCTGACGCGATGATGGTCCTTGCACATCCCTTATAGAATAACAATCGCTTCGAGGCATCCATCCAGCGCTGTGAGCGCAAACCCATGGCTGAGCGCCTGACGCTCAAAGATTTTTTGGCCAAGCCTTTCCAACGCCTCACCAAGTATCCGCTCCTTCTCAAGGTACGGGCTTGACTTTGCGCGTGTCAAAGAGTCCATCTTTTAATAATCACGTGAGTGTGCTCACCTTGAACGCGTCCCTGCCCCATTTCTTGGGTGGACAGGCTATCCTCAAGTATAGCAATGGCGATGAAGAAAAGGCCAACCTGGAGGCCGGCATTGAAGCGGCTAACCGTGCTCTCAAGCGCGTTGAGGATGCCATCCGCAAGAGCGAGGTCTGTTGAGTGTCCTCGCCGTCAGGACCAAGGGTCTGGGCTCAAGGCTCACTCGCTTAATGTAAATCTGCATCATAATCAGGATAAGCTCCGGCTCCAAGAGATTGAGGGTCAAATGGAAAAGTCTGGCCTTCTTCCTCTCGAGCGCATCGTCCTTCGAGGCTTATCTGAGTCTTCATTTGAGCTTGTTTACGAGCGTACGTTGGTGCTGGTCGACTTTTGTTTGCTTGATTTGCGTTGCTGTGGCGGTGGCGTGTCCGTTCACATTCATTCCTGGTATTGTCGTGGCTGTAGGCAACATCCACATACGTGTGGGCGAGAAGTTTGTGGAAATGCATGCCATTCTAATGAGCCACGCCTTGATTTTGTGCCAGATTAAGGATGATCGTCTTCTTGTCAAGGTGTGGCTTGCGGGTCGTGAATTTGTGTTTTGCCGGGAACTTTTCTCCTTTAGCCATGCATTTCGGCACCCGCCATTCCGTGCTTCAGGGAACTACGGGTGTGCTGACCGAGCTTCTTGTCCCACGAACGTAGCTCCCGGACAAGGGCAAGCGCCGATCACCGGTCATTGTTCTCAACTTGGCACTCGCGCGCCCAAATGCCACGGATGACAAATCATTCTATCTGATTTCTACTGCCAAACAAGAGGTTCTCAAGTGCTTTGCGGGGCAAATGTATGAGCTGCGCGTTGGCAGCAAAAAGGAAAAGGAAGAGTGGCTTCGACGCATTGCCCAAACGGTAAGGCATGGCTGCGGGTTCGGGCTGCGCAAAGGTAGAAGCCCTGTTCACTCACCACCGCAACCATCACTCATTCGTTCTGTCATATGACATTGATCATCGTCCCCAAACATAGTCCAAGGATTTCATGCACGCCATGGGTGATTACGGAGACATTCTCATCAAGTCGCTGGCCGAGCAAGAGGCCGAGGCCGAGCGTGAGAAGGAGCGTGAAAAGGAACGAAAGAATCAGCACGCCGCCGGTCCGCTTGTCGCTGAGGACATGCCAGAGGATGTACATGCGGCCCTGAATTGGGCGCTCGATCGCATGAAGGTCAACAATGATGCCAATTTCCAGCTCCTGGCCAAGCTTGATGATCGCTTGCGCGAGGCAGGCTTGGCAGAGTTGGAAGCCAGGGCCACCAGCGACACTCGTTCCGTCTCTCCACACCGACATGATGTGAACCGCCGTTCCTTTGGCACACAGCGTCGTGCCGTGCGAGCACGCTACGGCTCAAGTGTGGGGCGCACGCGCAGTCAGTCCGCCTCGGTCGTTGTGGGAGAACAACCCCACATCGAGATCATGCAGCCACCAGCTCTTCGTGAGTCTTCGGAAGCGCTGGAATGTGACGCTGAAACGTCTGACACTTCCTCGACGATACAACGGCGCCAGCAGAGACGGTCTCAGAGTTTGGAGGAAGGTTCTCACGCTTACCAGCATGGCTCACAGCTGGGGCATGACCGCAGCGTGAGTCCGGCTACAGAACACGATGTGGAAAAGAAGGCCCCTTTGGCTCGCGAGCTGGCCCTGGCTCGCGAAACCATTGGTGGTTTGCAAGCCAAGGTTGTTTACTTGCAACAACAGCTGCTGCAGGCGCATGACTCAAGCCGGCGATCAGCAATGCGGGACACGTCTGATATGCATAGCGGTAGGTGAACTGGTGTTTTCGTGATGGTGTCCTCCCTTTGCCTGCTTAGAGTGTTGGCATGGTTACAAAGCTCATACGTGTATGCGCCAAAATGCTTGCTCGATTGCAGAAGAAAGCAGCATTCGCTCTTTGCGGTTGGACGAAAGCGACTCAAAGCCTGCGCGAGAGTCTGCCGTTTAAAGATTTTTGATGTGGATGACCTGTGACTGTTTTTTATTACTTTGGGCGCTGTCTGTTCATTCTCCATCTCTCTTTGAATGTTGGGTTGTCAGTTAGTCTTCCCTTTTGGTTTTGTTTTCCCCAGTTGTGACTAGGTGCCCCCTCTGACATGGCTTTTTGACTTGTACTTCCTTATCCTTACCTGCCCGTGTCTGTTGGGGCAATAGAAAAGTGCTTTCTTTTCTCAAGGTTTTTTAATTGTTTTACGTGGTATTTTTTTTTCTTTTTTTTTTGGTAATTTCATGTTCATCCCCGTCGTACTTGTCTCTTCTCATCACTCACCCTCGCCTCCATGGTGAACTTTGCTCTATGGCTAGTTGCTTTGACTTGTGTTGAATCTTCGAATCCGAGCCGTGTGCTTTAACGATTGACAATAAGAATTGAGAGGAGGGAAATCTCGGGCTGATACGAGAGACGACTCAAGTTGAACGTAGAAAGGAAAAAAGAGAGAGATGATGGAGTCACATTTCCGTTTCGCAAAGATGTAACGGGCGGCGGCGAGCTTCGACCTCAAGCTCGACGGGATCACAGCCGCGGCCTGACTCAAGGAGATGAAAAGTAGCCTTGCGGGTTGCGAAAGAATTCTTGTTCCATTCTCACGCACGGCTGAATCATTGGTCTTTTGCCTCGATAGCGATGGTGAACACTACCAATCCAGCGATTAGCTGATGCCGTTGGTGCGCAACGCTTTCAGAGCGTGACATGCTTGTTTTATGCTGCAAAGGCGACCAGACTGATTGGAATGGGTATGGCTGACTAGTTGGGAAAGTTGATTTTTTTTCGGAAAACGAGTGTGTTGGAAGTACCATCAAGATGCGATCGTTCCGCGCTCCCAGTTTGTCTTGGACAACGGGTTTCCCGTGACAGAGCGTGTGCAAGGCATGGCCATTTTGCAGCCACAACCAAGCCTGGTCCACAAACCAGCAGTCAGGGGCAACCGAACGGAGAACACGAACAGGCAACACTGCATCGCACCAAACCGCCGGAAAAGCGGCTTTTGAAGAAAAAAAAAGTTGAAAAAAAAAAGGAAGCAACAAAGAAGGCAGAGAGAGGGCAGTCTTGCGTGCAGCCCAGCGTGCCGAATGAGAAGAAGAAAAAGGAGGAGGAGGAGGAAAGCAGCAAAATCAGTGCGAGAATGGGAAGAACAGAATTTCCACCAGAGGCAAAAGACAAGGAAACCTGTTTCTCATCGACCACCAATTGACATTCGGATCTGCGTGTTTCTTTCTGTCTCATTTATGAGTTGAAACCCGTGCCTATGCTGCCAGCACCAAAGATGGAGTTGTCGTAGCGGCGGGCACGGGTAGGGTCACGCTCATCGCGGAGCATGCGGTGGTCGCTATGCGGCAATAGACAAGGCAAGGCGTGAGTCGTGCGATACAAATGTGACCTAGGGGACAAGGGAAAAGGGTGATCAACAGCAATAACATACCCGTCTTCGCCCTCGATGCCAATAGTCAATTGAGGCGTTTTGGCAGGGATCATGAAGTGATTGTCGCAATGCGGGCAAAATTCGTCTGATTCTTCAAACTCGCTGTAGCACATACCAAGGCGGTCACGCCAGAGCAGGGTAAGTGAAAGAACACTCAAAAAAATACAACGAGAAGAGATAACTCTGGCAGAAAATGTTCCGGCAACAGAGTCGGGCGCAAACAAAAGCAACAGCAACAGCAACAGCAACAGCGCGTACGGACCGTGAATCTTTGCGAAAGACCTTTTTGCACTTTTTGCAAGCAAAGACCATTTCATAGCTCTTTTTCAACTCGTGGGATTCAAACTCGTCGTGGCACTCGGGGCAATCATACCATTTTTTGCAGCAGGGTGCTCGCACGGCCACCTAGATGGTGTGGACAGATCCCGCGACTATCAGCCGCAGCACGCTTCAGCAGCAGCCAGCTGCTGGAAAGTCTGAAGCGTCACACGAGCAGAATGAAAGCTGGCAAAGTTGGACAAACGGTTGTATGCATACCTGGGCATTGAGAATGTGTTTGCACATGACGCCTGTGTTCAAAAATCTAGCACAAAAGGGCAACGGGTTCAGCCGACAGTCGTGTGAGGTGGCGGTGAATCGAAGAATCATCCCCCCAAAAAACCGTCTCTCTGGCCCTTGGTCACCATTGAATCGCAAAAAACAAAACAAAAAAACACACACACACACACACCAACACCACCCGCATGTAGATGAGGCGACACTGTTCCACCCCTCCCCCCCCCGCAACAACGTACCCGCTGCCGCTGCCGTCTTCGTCGTCGTCGTCGTCGTCGTTGTCGTCGTTGTCGTCGTCTTCGTCGTCTTCGAAATTGACTTTAACGCCAACAACAGCTTCGATACGGAAGTGTGACACACAACACGTTTTGCACACTTTTCCTTAACGACACCGGTGCGAAATGAATGTGTTCGCAACATGCGTTGTATACTAAGTGTGATGACAACAGCTGTTGTGTACACTTTCATGACCGACAGCTGTTGTGAACAAAATGTCAGCGAACAGCAACAGTGCAACACGGTCAATTGACGTGTTCAAGATGATGGCGCCACTGAGCTCGACGTCGAGGGTGCTCTGGACGGCAGCGCTGGTGCTGCTGGTCGGTGGTCAATATGGCAGTCGCTCTTTTCAGGGTGGGTCAGTGACCCTGGTGGCGGCGGAGGAGGTGGAGGAGCCCGTGATTCAGCTGACTGATGAGAACTTTGATCATGTTCTCTCCGATTATGAGGTGGGTTGATTGAGAGTGAGAGATGTCAGCACCTGCCCGAGGGCGTGCGGCGCTGCGATGAGCCACGTCGAGTTGGGCGGTCGCCGTGTGTGAGGTGGTGAGGTGGTGAGGAGGGGCGGGGGTGGCAGGGTGCGAGGAGGAGAGGACAGCGTTGGTGCAACTAGTGTAGGTGTTGGTAGCAGGGGGGTCTGTGGGAAGGCTGGAATGAGGCGCGGCGATCGAGGCTCTCAGCGTAACATGATTCGGGCACTTGCCAGAGTTCAAATGGCGCTCTCGTCGCCATGACATGCCTTTCTCAGCGAGGGCGATGTTGGCACCAATGAGCAAAGGCGCACGAAACATCCTGATTGACGTGCGGATCTGTACTTGTATCCTCACCACCGCCTCCTTCTCTTGCATATGCGGCAAGGTGGTGCTTGTCAACTTTTATGCCGACTGGTGCCGGTTCAGCCAAATGCTCAAGCCTGTCTACAAGCAAGCCGCGCAACTCCTGGGCTCGAGTGTCAATGCCAAGCTGGGCCAAGTGAACTGCGAGGATCCACGTAAGATTTGTGATGTTCCAAGTCCAGTATGACCGCGCTCCTGCGTCGTTCCGCACGGCGCTCGTGCTTCGCGCGTGTCTGATGCGGCTGTTGGCTGTGGCAATGGGGATGGATTGCACGGGTGCAGGCGCTCAGCACAAAAAGTCTGAAAATGGCATCACCAAGTACCCCACCATCAAGGTCTATCGCAATGGCAAGGTACATTCATGGCCCAGATCGCCCTCTCCCGCTTCACACAGCCCGGATCGCCCTCTTCAGCTTCAAACGTCTCTGCGCCAGGTCTGGGCACTCACCATCTTTGTGGGTGTCTTGCCGTGATCATTGCCAGGCATTGCGCTCCGAGTATCGTGGTGCACGTACGCCAACGGCCATTGAGGCTTTTGTGCGCGAACTTTTGGCCGACGCTGTTTTCAATGCCCAAAGCAGCGAAGAGGTTGACAAGTTTGTCGCCCAACACCACAAGGCTGTTGTGGGCAACTTTGCCAGCGAAGAGCACCCCTTTGTTTCCACCTTTCGCGACATTGGTGAAGGCATGCGCGATGAATGCCGTTTCGTCTCGCGTTTTGGGTTCGTCTGCGCTCGCGGCCGTGGCTGCGTTGCAAGGCTTGGGGGGTCGGTCGCTGGTTTTACTGCTCTGCTCGCCCACGCTCATGATTGAATCTTATATACTATTGTTGTGCAGCCCCGTGGCGGGAGGTCAAGATTTCAAGTTTGAATTCCGCACCAAAGCCGACTACCACACATTTGGCGGCGAACTGACGGAAGAGGCCTTTCGCACTTGGGCCACCGAAGAGTGTACCCCTCTGGTTCGCGAAATCACCTTCTCCAACGGCGAGGAGCTGACTGAGGAAGGTCTTCCCTTTATCATTCTCTTTTACAACCCCAGCGACATGCACGCCGTTCAGCAGTTCACACGCGTTGTGCGCAACCACCTCGCCAAGTTTCGTGGCATTGTCAACTTTATTACTGCGGATGGCACCCTCTTCACGCACCCTCTTCAGGTACTTGCATCGAATGGCCTCCACTCGAATGCTGCCCGAAGGGAGGACCTCTTACCAAGTGTCAACCTGCCTCTCATCGTATCCTCGGGTGCCCCCGCTCCCTTCCTCTCTTTCCTTCCGCAGCACGTGGGCAAGTCTCGGGCGGACCTGCCCATCCTCGCAGCCGATACTTTCCGTCACATGTACCTCTTCAAGAACTTTAAGCGCATCCACCGTGATGGCGTTCTGGAGAGCTTTATCAACGACATTTTGAGCGGTTCGAGCTTCTGCCTTCCATGCCGTTCTTATTGTCGCGTGGGTCGAGTCATTCTTTTGATGAGTCTCACCTGCCTGTTGCGTGATTGGTCATCTGTTGCAATCGGTTGCGCTGTCCCTTTCCCTCACGCGTGCAGGCAAGATGCATCAAGAGCTGCACAACCCCCAACTCCGTCGCGATGCGGGTCAGGACCCTTACGCCGACGTTTACAACGATTACGAAGACGGTACGGACTCGGTGTTTGCTCAACTCCTTTTCCTTGAGCACTGGCAGTATGACGTACTCCGCCGCGGCTTGTCAAACATGCGCCTGACCAGCTGACTTGGCTGCTATACATAGAGCCGGATCCTGATGCACGAAAGGAAACAATCAAGGAGCAGCTCGAGGACGCACAGCAGCTGAAACAGCAGCAGGAAAAGAACGCGCAGGCCGTTCAAGATGCCGAATCTGCAAGCCAACGCAAGGCACAAGATTTTATCAATCAGAAGAAGGTTAGTGCTCCTCCTGCTTTCGCAGGTGATCGCTGCACGCATACTACCATGGATCTGCAAGGCCTCAAACTTAATATCACGCACCGCACGGTCTAACGGTCGGGGATGCTTATGTGAGTGTAGGAACAAGCGGCGCGTACCGGCGGCGTGCATGCGACCGAGGCAGTCGAGGCCAAGGCGTCCAAGGAGCACGAGGAGGCGGATACAGAGCATGCCGTGCCCGTGCGCGTGCGCTCAGTCATGAACCGATTATCTCCTTCAAACAATCGTTACACGTTGCTGCGTGATGAACTCTAAATCGAGCAAAACAGGGGAGAATTGTTTGGTATCGGAGCCCTGCCCTGCTTTTCTCACTCACTTTTTCTCTTCCAGCTCCCAATTTTTGTTTTTGGGGCACGAAAATGCCACAAAGAGAGCGCTCTGCGAGTCGCTGCCCAAATGCTTTTGGCTTTGTGCATTGCGCCTGTTCCATTCCTGCTTCTTCGGTCCTTGTGCTCTTTGTCCGTGATCGTTGTCATCATCTTCGTTCCTTTTCTCTGCTTTTTTTTCTGAGTGTTTCGCTTGTTCCCAATTCAATTGTTTGCATTGACCAACTTTCATCTCTTACTGGCACAATGTGAAGTGTGGAAGGATTGGCAATGTGGCTTCAACATGCAATCAGCAACGAGATCCGCTGTAAGTCCGGTCATCGCACAGCGACGAACAAAAAGTGAGCGGCTCCGTAGCGGTGGCGGGCCTGGCGCTGGTGACGACTAGGCGAAGCGACGGGCCACAACCATGGCTTCTTCGCGGCTCATTTTGTCCGTAAACTCGAGCACATGAGTGCACACGATTGCTGCAGTGTTCACCAACGCTTCCCGATCCGCGTCATCGAGCAGACCTAGTTGGATGCTGAAGCGAGGAACCTCTGTCAAAGCTCGCAGACGTTTGAAGGCTCCAATGGCAGTGGTGCGGGGCGAGGGTGCCGAGGTGTTGCCAGCCTTGGCCAAGGGGTCACGGCATGCGTGCGCCAGGGCTGGCACAACGGCAGTCAGCCAGGATGGTTCCAATTGACTTCCGATAAAAGAGCGCAAATTGGATGGGGCCACCAGCAACAGCCAGCGCCCCAAGCGAGCTGTGTGAGGTAGTAGTTCCCGTAGCTGGGCCACAAAGTCTGCCGCCATCGTGGGCACCGGGGGCAGCGGAGCGTCTGAAGCATCAGGCATGGTGGCCGGTGACTTGCTATCGCCACTCATGGCCGTATACATTTCCTCCGCCATCTGCCGCGCTTTCTCTTGGGCGGCATCGGCTCGGGCCTCAAAGTCACCGAGCATATTCTGCATGTCCGCCACCTATATAGGTTGCGAGCCACCCCGCGACGGCCAAGACGTAAGGCAATGGTCAAACGTGGTCGGCAAGGACCAAGGTCAGTACATACCGAGGAAGAACTGGTTTGCAGAGACTTTTGGGCTGCCAACACTTGCTCTTGAAGGCCGGTATATTCGTTTCGCATCTGATTTAAACGCTGCTCCAATGCCTATCATCGCCAAACATGAGGGGGCGGGCGGAGCACAGGAGCTGCTTGTCATACTTTGAAAGTAGTACCAACCTGTGCGTCATCATCGCGCGAGGTAGACGTTGTAGGCGGAATGGGGGCAGTGGACGGCGTTTCACTTTCTGAATCACTATCATCCTCGACCTCTTCAATGACGAGCTTGCGCGTGCCTTGGGTGGCAGTTGCGGTCGGAACGGCAGAAGAGGGATTGGCAAGGCTGGGTGGCAGAGGTAGAGCATCAAGATCTCGCTGGGCGACGGCGTTTTGAGGCTCGAGGGCAAGCACACGCTCAAGGGATTTGCGAGCTTCTGCGTGCTGACCACAAGCGATTTGGGCCTGTGCAAGGCGATACCATGCCTTGACGTTTTCAGGCTCAAGGCGCAACACAGCTGCAGCATCGGGCAACGCCCGAGCGGCTTCTCCAAGCTTGAGAAAGCAAAGTGCCCTATTATTGAAGGCAGTTGCGCGCGCAGGGTCGAGCTTGATGCAGCGTGCGTACACAGCAATGGCATCGCGATACTGTTGCTGCCGCACGAGCCGATTGCCTTCGTTTTTGAGCGCCTCGTATTCTGCTTCGGCGCGGCGAGTAGAGGGTGCGCTGCTGCCCGGGGGCATACGCAGGCTCTCGCCTTGGGTTGTGGGGTTGCTCGGGGTAGCTTGGGCCTTGGGCCGGGCCTCGGGCTGGGACTCGGGCTGGGCCTTGGGCTGGGCCTCGGGCTGGGGCTGGGACTCGGGCTGGGACTCGGGCGGCGCTTGAGTTTCGGGCAGTGATGTTTTAGTGCGAGGGAGATGCGATGTTTCCAGAGGCGGCACGGCCAATCCGTAGGCGTTCATGGCAGCGACGACTCGACGAATGCCTTCCTGGGCGGGTTGATTTTGGCCAGACTGGTGCATGACAAAACGGTAGTCATGCAGCGCATCAGCAAACTTTTCTCGCTGCTCCAAAGCACGGCCACGCAAGAGGCGGGCCTTCAAATGGCCCTCGTCGCTCTGTAAAACACGTTCGCAATCACTTGTGCAGGCAAAGGCATTGCCGAGTTTGAGTTGAACTGTCGCGCGGTTCGTAAGCAGCACATGGAGATGATTTTGCAAAGCCGGCTGGCCCTCGTTTTCCAAGAGCGCCAGGGCTTGGCTGTAAAGGTCCAGGGCATCGGCGTAGTGACCCAGACCAAAAGCTGACTTGGCCTTGTCCTTGACTGCTTGCACATTTTCTGGAAGCGCTGGCTCTGGCATGGCCTGGGCGGTCGGGGAGCCGGTTGAAGCTAATGTCGGTGTTTGGGACTGCACGGCCGTTGCAGCATGCGTTTCCTCGGCAGCATGCACTATTTGCGAGTTCGCATCGTCGTCGTCCTCTTCTTCTTCGTCGCTTGAATCTTCATCCACTTCCTGAATCACAAGCTTGGTGCTCTTGGTGGGGGCAGCAGCAGGTGCCGCTGCTTTGGGCAACGGCGCTTCGGTCGGCGCTGATGCTTTTGCACGTCGAATGTTCCCATCGCAGGCCATGATCAAGGTTAGTCAAAAGACGAGTCAAGGTGGGAGTGTATGTGTGTGAAAGGGGTGTGCAAGCGGCCGTTCAGACGAAACTCACCCTTGTTGGTGGTGGTGGTGGTGGCACGATCCTGGGCGCGCGCTCGAGCCAATAGCTCCTTGGCCTTGTTATTATTTGGCTGTCATGCACATGCCAAGAAAGATCAACCAGGCCCAATGACCACAGCACCAACACAATGTCAAGCGGGGGAGGGAGAGGGTGTGTTGAGTTTGCAAGCAGGCGGTAGCACGAGACACACGTATACGTGTGGTTTGCGTGTGGTTGTGGGGAGAAAGTATGAGCAAGCCGAGGACGAAAACTGCGTACCTCTCGGTCCAGGCACGCCTGAAGATCTGACTCGGCCGCCTCGAATTGTCCAAGTTCGAGACGAGCCCAACCACGCCGCAGAAGGGCCTGTGAAACAGATGGAAAAGTCGATCACCAGCACCAAATCAAGCATGAGACCACTCTTTCGGGGACAACAACCACATGGTTGTGTCATGCTGGACTGAGGTCTCAGTGTCTGACCTTGATGTTGTCTGATTCGAGGCCAAGGACGGAGTTGGCATCGGCATCAGCCTCACGGTAGCGAGCAAGCTTGAGGTGGGCGAGGCAGCGGTTATTGAAAGCCGCTGCAGAGGGCGCATAAGCAAGGCTGCGGGTGTAGTAGATGCTGGCTTCGGCATGGTCACCCGCGCGCATGGCCTCATTTCCCTTGAGGCGCTCCGTCTCGGCATGACGCTGGCGCATCACGGGATCTTGACCTGTCACGTTGACGTTGCTGGTTGGAAGGCGGGAGGTCTTGCCCTGCTGGGCTTCGGCACTTGCTGAGGGGGTAACGTTTGGGGTTGAAGTCGTCGGGCTTGGAGTGTTGGACTCGGTGTGCGTATCCAGTTCACGCAAAGCAGCGTCCACATCGTATCGGTCCCAAGCGCGAAAGTCATGGCTGGGAAGCAGTCATCAGGGTCGTCGGCATGCATGGTGTGAGTGAAGGAGAGGGTGTGGTTTGTAGCGCATCCAAGTTTGATTTGAAACAATGGTAGTGACAGACAAGGCGCGGCGACTGCACGATCAAGAGGATTTGGTGTCACGACATCTGTGGGCTCACTCTTACCCTGGAATGCGTTGGGCAGTGGCTGGAGCTGACACCTTTGCGGCATTGCTGCCAGGTTGATTGGATGCTGCAGTGGTTGGAGCAGTACGCTGCAGGCCGATGGTTGGGCCTGCAGCACCGCGGTTACGAATGGGGGGCCGGGAGTTGGTTGGTGCAGAGGCAGCAGCGGCCACAGTATCGAGCTGGGAGAGCTGCGCGAGTCCAGAGAGGAAGGAATCGCGGTCGGGCTGGTCCATGTGGCGGGTGGTACCTAGATGCTGGGACTTGCGAAGAGCGCGATGTTCTGGGCACATGGCGCGGAGGCGATTGGTGGTGGCAGTTTCCAGCTCGGGAAAGCGGCCTTCCCGACCTGACTCGAGCGCTTCGAGGATGCGGGCGAGGTAGTCGGGATTTTGACAGGCTCGAACAAAAGAAAAGTCAAGATGTTCAACGGGCACAGGCTCATGTGGACCAGCGTGGGTGTATGTGGCTTTACCAATCACCGTTTGCTTCGCGGCCTGAGCAGCAGCAGGCTTGTCATCGGCGGCGCCGAGGATGGTGGCCGCATCATCATGACTCAGCTCTGTGCCATCGTTCTCGTTGTCAGCCGCCGCGGCAGCGATAAAATCGGCCACTTGCTGCAGCTCGTTATCCATCATGTTGATGGCGGCAGTAGTGGGCCTCCACGAAGACGAGGCAAGGGCTGTTGCAGAGGCAGAGACAGGGGCGGAGGGCGGAGGCGGCCCAGAATCGAGTGTGTGCGCACGAACAGCGTCGTCGTCGTCGATGAGGCGGGGTTGCTAGCAGTAAAATAAACAACAACCCCGTAAACTTGATTACAATCAAGCGACGACTAATGTAAACTGACCCTTGTTATATTGAATTCATGGCTATCCTGATAGTGTGCGTATCTTTACACTATCGCTTAGAAGGTTTTTTTTTTTCTTCCTTCTTCTCTGTGTGTGGATCTCTCAACGTGTATCTCTCCTCTGTGTGTCTCTCTGTCCTCCGTTCATATTTACACGTACATTCCCGAAGTGTCTCACTGTATTTGCCTCGATCTCTGCCTCTGGCTTTGACTCTGGCCCCGTCTCTGGCCCTGCCTCTGTTGTCTCTGTCTCGACGCGCGACTGCAAACCGGTGAGTGCTGATGGATGGGGTGCTGCTTGCTGCTTCCCTGTTTGCGTGTGGGCCCGGCGTTGGGATGGCTCCGAGCCTCTGGATGGGGTGGGAAGCGACTTGAAAGAGCGGAGATGCTACAGCTGTTTGTGGGTGTCCGAAAGGGGTTGCACGGATCATCTGATCACCTTGCCATGGCTGGGCTGTTGCTGGAGGGGCAGGGGGTGTTGGTGTGGAGCAGCGGGCCACGTAGTGTCGTTCCACGACCCCTTTTGCTGGTTGTAGGGGCTGGAGCGTGTTGACAATGGCCATGGCGGCGCGCGCCGAGCGGGCGCTTGTGAAGACGCGACACCGGATAACACGAGCGATTGAGGAGCGGGAGTATTACGAAGCGAGCCAGCTGGTCCTCTCCCTCGCATCCCGGTTCGTACGCGGCGTTCATCAAGAGCCCGGCGGTATCCTGTGGTCGGCACCAGGGTCTCATCATGTTTGCCGACGATCTCTGCAGCCTTCATGCGCTGGAGCGCGACGCCGAGGCCGTGGGTGAATTGCGCAACGTACTGCAGCAGCTGATTGACCACGGGCAGGTGCGTTGGGTGCTTGTGGCCCGTGTGGGACCCACCTCTCTGAACATGCTGGTGAATGGCGGCGAGCATGCGTGGCTTCTGATGTGGGTTGACGAATTTTGTGAAATGGCACCAGGACAAAGAGGTGGTGTCGCTGGCACGGACCATGGTGACAACGCCCGAGTACCGCGCTCAGCTCTCTCTTGAAGAGTGGGCACCCGTGCTCACGCGCATGCAAGATGCCCGCCAGGCCAAGGTTTTGGCCCTTGCACTCATCCAGTCAGTATCAGCGAGAGCCATGAAACACCCAGCTCTTTTCACCCAAGGCCGGAATTTGGTTCTACGGTGCCTTCTCATTTGGCCGAGCCACAGGAATTGGGCAGGCAGCCCGGATCAGCAGACGGCTGCGCATGTCGCGCTTTGGGAAGCCATGGCGACCGCTTTGGCTCCTCGAGCCCAAGGTCAGTCCAAAGACGTCGGCCGGGCTGGGGGTGCGGGCGTACAACGCATAAATAACTGATGTTAACATGGTCCTGGTGATTGATGGGACCCAGCGTCCGATGTACTGGAGGCCGTTTTGGCGTCCCTGGTGCGCCTGTGTGAGATGCTCGTGACCTCCGAGGCCAAGTGGTTTGAGCTGCTGCAGCAAGCCGTCACGTCACAGTCAGTCTTGGCCCAACTGTCGTCAGTCTTTGTTGATGCCTTGTTGATCATGGTTTGTTGGTCACTGTGTTCAGTACGCAGACACTTGAGGACTGGAAGGGCTATATCAACCGAGCTGCTCTTTTCTCTCTTCAGTGCGTTTCGATACGCGCATCATTGCCTTGTTTTTCCTGGGACTGATGCGGGTTTGATTTCGGGAGAAGGGATGTGTGTGTGTGTGTGTGTGTGTGTGCGTGCGCGTTGGTGTTGCTGTTGGTGAGCGGGGCCTGGCCTTACAGAGCGCGGAGTCTATCATCGAGTGGAATGGCGGTCGGGCGCGGCCAGCTCATGCTGGGATTGATCTTTAGGTTGGTGCTCAGGATCCCGCTCGGCCTTGTGCGTCGCGCGTTTGATATGTGCATGGCGCCGCTTGGCGCGTCTGGGGTTGCACCCACTCCATTGGCCGAGTTTGTGGATCGTGTCTTGGCGACATTGACACGAGATGCCCTTTCCTTGTTTGAGGACTTGCGTGTGGCCTATGCCGATGTGCTGGAGCAGCACGCCGCCACCAATCCGGTCAGTCTGGCGGGCGTTGGGCGTGGCCCGAGCTCATGGTCTTGATAAGGGCCGGTCCCCACACCCAATCTGCTCGTACTGACGCGTGCTTCAAAATGATCTAGTTGCTGGATCGAATTGCGGCATACTACTACAACCACCAACCGGCCACGGGCAGCGGCGCTGGTCTGGGGATGCTGGGTAAGAACATACGAACCATGTCTGCATCAGCCGTCAAATTTTTTTAATCCTTTTTATTCTTTTTTTTTTGGTGTTGGCTTCCTGATCAACCCTCATCTTCATCTCGGATGTTTTCGTCCTTTCCTTCGGGGCAATGGCCAGGCGATCTGTTCTCGTCGCTGATGGGAGGTGCCGGAGGCGCTGGCGCTGGGAGCGCCCGCGCGCTTCACGCCTAAGCCTGATAAAAGTCTGACAACTAGGTGTGCAAGATGTATTGTTCAAGCGTGAAAAACCATTTCGAAACCAATAGCGACATCCCAACTGCACCCTCGCAAATACGCACACGTAAAACATTGGGCGGAGCGACGCAGAGGGTGTGACGTGGCGTTACACTTTGCACTCCAAAAGAAGCGGTGGTGGACTGCTACCAACTGTGAGAACAACTGTGTTGTAGCCGCGCACAACATCAGTGAGTGTGTGTGGTGTGGTGTGTGTGCGTGGAATGGCAGCGCGGCCCAAGGGAAAGCGAGCTGGCGATCGGGGGAGCCCGGAGGGAAGAGCGGGATCCGGGTGTACACATGCACATGCAGACACACATGAGATTGGAGCTGTTGTTGGAGGCTTTCCACATCAACACACACAGAATGGGTGAAAGATTTGGTTCTTTTGTCATTTGTTGGTTTCTTGATTGCTCTGAATCTCTATTTGCATGCCTGCTCTCATGCCACACCTCTTTGAACCGGTCTGTGATTCCCAACTTCTCTGAATATCCATCGGTTTTGACTTGGGAACCTTCTTACCAAACAGAGACATCTCTGTCGACATCGGTTCCAAAAGCCACATCTCTGGCCTGTGTCATCGCTCTGACGCTATCTCTGCTCTTCCTGAGTTGTGTGCGGTTTTCTCTCACTCGTCGAGTCGTGTGAGTGCCTCCGCCCTCTCTGGACTTGTCTGACTGACTGGTCAGCTGCGGTTCTTGTCCCCGGCGATGCCCGAGGGCCGTGTGCTCTGGTCGTCTCTCTGCTACCTTGATCCCTCTTCCCATCCTCACAACACCCTCTTCTACCGCCCACCCGCCACCGAGTTTGATCCTCTTGTGTGCGTGTGTCTGTGCATGTGTGCGTGTGCCATCGCAGAGAGAGAGAGAGAGACAGAGAGAGAGAGAGAGAGAGAGAGAGAGAGAGAGAGAGAGAGAGAGAGAGAGAGAGACAGACAGAGCGACAGGAGACGAACACAGAGACAGAGACAGAGACAGAGAGACAGAGAGACGAACACAGAGAGAGTGAATCGTTGATTGTTGCGGCTGCATCGGTTCTGGTCTGCCAACAGGACTTGCGCTGGTTCCAAGTGCAGTTGGTGCTCATTTAGCCTCACCTCGATTGTTGAATGTGTTGCTCGTCACTCTTGTCTGTTGACTTCCCTTTGCTGCCTCCAACGGTGCCCTTTTCCGTGGCCGCCCTGCCCTCGGTCAGTCACTTGCCTTTCTTTTCTTTTTTTATTCGTTTGTTCTCTCTCGCTCTCTCTCTCTCTTTCTCTGTGTGTGTGTGTGGCTTTTCCTTTTTCTTGTCTTTGACGAACGACCTTTGGGGGTGCGTTGCGCGGTGGCGCGTTGGGGGTCGACCGCTCCTTTGTCGTCGTCGCCGTCAACCAGCTCGGCTTTTTGTTGCGTTGCGTCTTTCATTCCCTCCCTGCTTGTGGTGCTCTTTGGTCTTTTGGCCCTTCCATTTTTCCTTTTCTTATTCAAAAGACTTGCTCACCTTTTGACTGCCTCTTGTTCGCTTCGTAGTTGTACTTTGATTAGGTTGCGGTTGTGGAGTGGGACGCAGAGAGCTTTACGTCGCTTCGCCAGACAATCGGCCTTCTGTTGAGCTTTACCCTCTCCATCCATCCTTACGTTTAATCATGGCTGCACGAGGTGCTGGCGCCGCTGGCGGCAAGTCTTGCCAGTTCAAGCTCGTTCTTCTCGGTACGTGCCTCGGACTGTGCTTGCTCCGCGTCGTGAAGATGAACGGTTGATGCAAAGTCGAGAAGAGGGAATCAAACGGGAGCGGGCATCGGGCAGAAAAAGGCAAGGGGACAAGACAAGCAGCCTGCCCCACCTGTCTGCAGGCGTCGTGGCACACTTTTGTTGGTCAGATGTCGGACAGCAGGGAGGCCAGCCATGATTTTATTTTTGATGGTTCCTTTTGGTTTCATGCGATATGAGCGCATGACATCGGCGTTGACGCCCATGTTGCTTGACCGCTGGTTTTTTTGGTTGTGCTTGCGTTTCTAGGCGAATCAGCGGTGGGCAAGTCAAGCCTGGTTCTCCGCTTTGTCAAGGGCCAGTTCCACGAGTATCAGGAGAGCACCATTGGTGGTACGTCCCTGGCGACGCACATAGTTGTTTTTTATTTTTTCAGGGGGGGTTTGGGGGTTGGGGTGTGTGTGTTCTTGAGGATGTGGCTCTTGAGAAGTCTCGCACGGCAAGACGCGCTCAAGAGCAAGGGTTAGGACTTGGAACGAAGAGCGTTCCAAGTCAGGGCCAACAAAGCCACAGGGCGGCTTACGCCAGGCGGCATGCAATGGGCAGTCATCGGGCTTGTTTTGCTGCAGCGACGATCGTTGACATGGGTTCGCTTGGTTGCCATCGTTTCTATCGCCACCGCACTTGGCAGCTGCCTTTTTGACACAGACGGTTGCCGTGGACGATGTGACGGTCAAGTTTGAGATCTGGGACACGGCCGGCCAGGAGCGCTACCACTCGCTTGCCCCCATGTATTACCGCGGTGCTCAGGTATATATCCCATCCTTCGTTCCCTTGTCCAACAACCCTTTGACTCCTGTCGTGATGGGACATGACCACTTTTGGGTACAGCGCCAAGGGTTTGCCCGGTACTCCTTCCTCATGCCTGTGATTTTGCCCTTGGTCTTCTGGTTGGATACTTTCGTTTCAGGCTGCCATTGTGGTCTATGATATTACCAACGCCGACACATTCCAGCGTGCCCGGTCATGGGTTAAGGAACTCCAACGACAGGCCAACCCCAACATTGTCATTGCGCTAGCAGGCAACAAGGCTGATTTGGCCTCCAAGCAACAGGTGGACACCAACGTACGTAGTCACACGAGAACCCTCTTGTACCCTCTTGTACCCACCTGCCAGGCGTCGACTCGAGGTCTCTCTCTCTTGTGTGTGTGTGTGTGTGTGTGTGTGTGTGTGTGTGTGTGTGTGTGTGTAAGAACCTGCACCAAACCACTCGACTCCTTTTCTGATACGCGGCGTTGTTGCATGGATTGTCTTGAACGTTGGCATCCACAGGAGGCGAGGGCGTATGCCGAGGAGAACGGCTTACTCTTTATGGAGACATCAGCCAAGAACGCCATGAACGTGACGGAGATCTTTATGGCCATCGGTGGGTGCCACGTCCCGCTCGTGTGGGGACAAGCGGGATTGTAGCGATTTGTTTCGGGGTTGGAAAGTCCTCGGAAGATTCAATACACATGAAGGAGCAGACGACCTGGTTTTTGCTCTCCTTGATATCAACGCCACGTTTCCCTAACCCTCTTCCCGCTTTCCTTGACCCTGTGTAGCGAAAAAGCTGCCCAAAAACACGCAGCCTGGACCTCGCGGTGATACCCTGAAGGTGGCGGACGACGGCAAGAAGCAGGGCGGTGGCTGCTGCTAAGCAGGGCCATCCCAGACTGCGCCAAGTGCGCGGCCTGGTTGGTGGCTCTGAAGCGGCCCTGTCCTTCTCCACTCAGCCTCGTTTCCGTGTGCTGCTGCTGTCACCGGTACTTTTGCCGATTGGTGTCGTAACTTTCTTCTTAGGCCTCCTGCCTCGTTATACCTGTTCGTTGCTGTGGCTGTTTAACCATTCTTGTGTGTGCATGTTTGCGTCTGTTGTCCCCTGGCGTCTCCCTTTCGTCACGCGCCCCGTTCAAATCCGTCATGTCAAATCGAGGATGTTGATCACTTTTTGTTGCCTCTCAACACCATGCTTGGCTACCCTCCTTTCAATCAATCATGTATCAACAGCTTGTACACTTAAGCTTGGCGTTGCTTTGTGTGTGTGTGTGTGTGTGTGTGTGTAGTGTGGGTTCCCCGCTGCGCGACAATGACATTCATGTTTTGAGGGCAGTGAAGATAAAGGTCAGGGTTCTGACACAAGAAAAGCACCAAAAAGAAGAAGTGAAAGTGAAGAACTTTAAAGTTCGATTGATCCAGAGGCTGAAGGCAGCTCCGTTGTGAACGCAAGGACGACTTACAGCACACCGACGGACAAGGCTCAAGCAGGACGGTAAACCGCACTGCTCAAGCCCCGGCCAGGCGCACCGGCGTCAATGTCCTCCGAGGAAGACATTTACTTGCTGCGAGCGCGCATTTTACGGCGCTTACGCTTCAACCGGCGCATACGCTTCTTCCTCCACTTGGCCCGCATCTATGTTTTGGAAAAAAAAAAAAGGGCAGTGAGACAAGATTGAAGAACCAGCATCAACCGTCCAAGAACGGCAACTTCAACACAAGCCTCGCTGCAGTTCACCGTTGAACAACGGCAAACTAACGAGGTTGGCTCACAAAACGGCAGCGCACGACACAGACACACAAGACAGGGAACGCCACAAGAGAACAGACCTTGTTTGGTGAGAGCCCCAAAAAAAAGTGCCTGACCGGGGGTTCAAATCTCAACTCTCAAACAAGGGAAAGCAGGGTGGAGGCTGTGTTGATGAAAGGGTGGCGTTGCCTTGCAAGGGGGAAACGTCAACAAGGGTTGCAGTCACGTTGCAATAACCTTGACGTTGAGCATGACCAGCTTGCCATGCTTGAGGGCAGGTTGTTGCGGTAAGGAAGTTGAACACGTTGCGTACACGTGTGACAACGTGACGCCTGCGACGAGGGCGAGGGGCTGGTATCTCACGGACAACATCTGTTTACAACTACAGTTCCAATGTTCGGCTTTTTTCGCCGAGAAAAACAATATCTTGTCTGACCGCACGGGTGGGGCCAAGCGACCGGCTATTGGTCGCAAAACATGTTGACGGCAGCGGGTGTCAACGCCAGCAGCATCAGAATGAACAGGATTGGCATTTGCACATTAGGTCTGAATTACAGGTGAGGGGATGGGTCACGTTATGTTACGTCGGGCAAACGAGGTTGGTCTGATTTTATTAGCAGTCGTGGGCTCGACTGGCTAGCTAGCATGCATGCGAGCCGTACTCTGCCCCGGAAAAGAGTGAAAATAAGAGAACAGAGGCGGGGCACACATGCACGCGCTAAAAAAGGAGACGGATGGTATGATGCTAGCGGATTCACGGAATGCGCTCGAATGGGGCCGTGTCCTTGAAGCATACATCGTAGACATCCTCGATGACGGCGTCAGCCTCGGATCGGCTCAGGCCCAACACCATAGCCACGCTCATGGAGGCGCGTCGCTTGACACAATTCTGTTAGAGCCGAGCAGGGATTCAAGGTTTTATGAAACAGAGTCCAGGCCTCTTGATAAGGAGAGCGCCAGCGACTTGACGGGCAGGCAACGATGGTTGCGGGGACCAGTCACAAACCTGGTGCTGTTTCTTCCAGGCAAACTTGAGCCGATTGAAATTTTCCTGCACAAAGAAGCAGTCACCGCTCAAGCTGGCGGCACGAATCTGTTCAACCAGAGCAAGTCAGTCGTGAGCAAGGCAGGCGGGCGCAAGCCTCCGCGCGCACAGCTGCTGCGCGGTTGGCCCGGTGTCGGCGCGACGGCCAGAGGTGGCGTGCAAAGCTACCCACCTCTGTGCAGGCCAGGTGGCGCGGGTCCTGGAAGTCCACCTTGGCCCGACAGTCATCAAACGCATGAATGAGCTCGTGCGTCACCACACGCGTCATGTTCTCGGGAGTAAAAATATTGTTGGCACAGAGAACAATCTACATGAGGTTGCGCACAATCAATCAAGCACGAGTGAATCCGAGCCGCGGGTCGGTTGCCTTTGGTAGCGCCGGGTCAAGGTGGTATGGACACCCACCTCATCCCGTTCGGCATCGTAAGCTCCGCTCATGGCGCATTCGTTGAGTACAAAGTATTTAGAGACATCCTTTTCGCTGCGCACACAGCAATATCAAAATCCAGTCGTGCCGGAAAAGCGGCCGTCGTCAGGTGCGCTCATTAGCACGAGATGCAGGACATACCAGCCAGCCGTGCGGAGGGCATCCAGCATAAAGGTGACAAAGGCTGTCATATGGCCGGACACAGCCGATGGGTGAGCGGATCTAGACCAGCCAAGCGTGCCAGCTTGCAGCCCCGAGTAGCGGACCGCTTACGAGCTTTGAGCGACTTTTGGAGCCAGCGCTCGCCGCGCTGCTGATCCTCTGGCCTGCAAGGTTTGAACTGAATATTCTTTTCCGCGTGTGTCATGGGTTCTGCCGACGCCTGCGGCGCTGCCGCTGCGGTAGCAGAGGCCTCGGCCATCCTGCTGCACGTGTCCTCGACCGCCACCTGAGCCAGCCACCACTTGGACGCAACTCGACTGCAAGTGTGTGTGTGTGTGTGTGTGTGTGTGTGTGTGTGTGTGTGTGTGCGTGTGTGTGTGTGTGTGTGTGATTTGCTCACTTTGTCAGACAAAAAGTAGCTACATAAATGGCATCAGTTACGACTGGTCAAAACGTTGCATGCACATTCAAATCTACATTTACCTTGGATTCGTCTACGATAATGTATTGATAGCTTCAGACTCTCTGGCTCACGGGGACAGGACGGGGGAGCATGGCCGGTGCCACGCTGTGGGTGTTTAGCTACGGCACGCTGCGCGCACCAGAGCTGCAGGAGATTCTATTGGGTCGAAGGGTGGAGATGCGGCGCGCCGTGCTGGAGGACTTTGCTGTTCAGGTGGACCCGCACTTGGGCTACCTCATGCTGGCGGTTTCACCAGGGAGTCGTGTTGAGGGCTGTCTGCTGGAGGTGACGCCGGCCGAGTTGCTGCGCTTTGATGCATGGGAGGAGGTGCCGCTCTATCAACGCGCGCAAGTGCAAGCCCGCCTCGCGCACACCCACGAGCTCGTTTCAGCGATTTGCTACCTGCGTCCTGACGTTCAGGGTGAGCCAGTGTCAGATCCCAACTGCCTCGCCACTAAAGACTGGACCCTGGTATTGGCGGAGGCGCGGGATCTCGCAGCCACGCTGCCTCCGCTCTGAACGCAGCAGTGTCTAACCTTCAAAGAAAAACCATCGCAAGCCGGCATCGATCGAGCCCCCCGCCCCCCGGCCCGAGCTGGTGTGTGCGAGCAAGGAGGCTCTGGGTGAGAGCGCGCACGTCGTGCCCAAAGCTGCACACGAGCACTCTTTGCATTAATGTCGAGCATATTAGACTTGTTGTAGAACTGTAACGAAACCTTTAGTTGGCTTTTGCAGACAAATTGAGAGAAACCGCCGACTTGCACCGCAAAATACATCTGACAATCTGACAATCTGACAAAAGTTTTGACAGCCCATCTGTGTGTGTGATCACAACACTTGGAGCTGAACTTGTACACACAGAGAGAGAGGGACAAGGTTGGGGACCGTGGCAGAGATGAAGCGGCTCGATGGAGACGATGGTAGAGAGAGGCATGGATGTGAACGCAGACATGGTGAAAATACAAAGTAAAATAAGCCTGGTTCAGAGATGGCTATGGAACCATGCTCAAAATCAGAGATACAGTAGAATCCATCGGTACGGGAAGAGAATGTGTTCAGCTGCATTCATCATCAATGAGGTCGACGACCAACGACTGACGACTGACTGACCGACCGACCGACCGACCGACCGACGGCAGCGACGGTGAGAGGGAGGCGCGTTTGGAAATGCAGTGGCCTGTCTGGGCGCTGTCATTACAAGGAAGCACCGGCATATAGCCAGACAGAGAATGAGCAAAAGAGCCCGAGCCAGAGACTCACAGGCAGAGAGAGTCGGAAAGACGGAAGGACTCGCAGCAGTGGACACTGCACATGCCATCCGCTGAAGCTACTCAAACTCTGGATGGGAGAGAGAGAGCGAGAGGGCAGGAGAGAGAGAGGGACTGGCCGTGTGAGGGTAGCTGTGTTGGATGGGGATGGGCTCGGCTGAGCAAGAGCTACAGGTTCAGTCAGACCTTGACAAGCAGAACGATCATGTCACTCATTGCTGCATATATACTCACCGACCCCTGCTTTCTTTTTTTTTCTATTTGGGTGCTTCCTGCTCGTGCTCTTTTTTCGATATTCCTCTTAGGTGAAGCGGCAGCGTGTCTGTTGAGACACTCGGCTCATCCTGCTGCGACCTTAGTCGCCCGCTTGCTGCTTGTCCCCGAGCCCCAATTGCTTTGAAACCCAAACCGCCACGTCATTTCGCATCGCGGGCAGCGGTACCAGCGTTTGCGACATGGACGTCGATAACCTTACAGGAGTGGGACCAGGCGCCTCTCCCGTACCCACGGTCCTTCCACAGGACTTGGAAGACACGGCCGCCGACTTTCATCCCTATGATGCAGCCGTCTCCCCCATCAACCCTTACCTCCGCCATCTGGCCTACAGCAGCAACTGTGAAGAGGAGCGCCAGCAGGCCCTGCATGACATCCAGCGGGGCCTTGCCCAAGTTGTCCTACACCACCGACTAGAGCCTAGCCTTCGCTTCTGGTGCCGCCGCTTAGAAACGTCAGTGGTCGTTATGCCAGAAAGCGTGGCCTTGGGCCTGCGCACTTGAGCACGTGCTCCTGAACAATGTCTGATGTTCCCTTACCAGTGGCTAACAAACACATGCCGTGGGAGGGGAACGCCGTGTTACTTTGACTATTCGTGTCACAGAGCTTACTCTCACCCGAGTCAAACCCGACCCGGTCGGTGCGCCCGCTGCCTCGCTCCTCGTCACGCCCCCTCCCTCAGCTACATGCAAATCTATGACCGTGCCTTCTCCAAACAAGAGGCCATTGACCTGGTCCAGCTGCTATGGACGTTGTTAATTCTGCCCGACCTGGACATTGCCTTGCAGCACCGCATCGCCCGCTCACTCCGGGCCATCGTGGGCCAGCGAACCCTCCTCAAGCCACGAGACCTTGAACTTTCCTGGCGCCCCCTCGTCGACCTCGTCATCAAGCATCACTTTCCCAAAGTTCGCGCTGCCGCCACAGCCTCCACCGAGTGCGTGTGCCCATCTGTTTTCGCCTAATCGCTGCCGCAACCACCCACCGTGCGCGCATGCGCTACATTGGTGCCCCAACAGCACTCCCATGCTGGCTTGGCTTCACGTGACCCCTCACCTCGATTTTTGACCCATTGTTGCTGCGCACTAGGCACGGCGCCATCTTGACCTCCTTGTTGCGCTGTTGTCGCCGTTTCTTTCCGGCGTCCGCCGCACGAGAAATATGGGCTCATTTTGCGCCCTTGCTCTGCCCAAATGACGAGAGCATGTACAAGGCCGTGGCCTTTCTCGCTCTCCTCTTGCCCACCGACAGCGAGTGCGTTTGATTTGCTCTGCTGATCCAACACCGCGAGCTCGGCCTGACTCTTGCTGGTTGTTTGCTCAACCGTCTCTGGTCATGCTTGCTTACCACGGAACAGGTCCCGCGCGACTGACTCGGACTTTTATCTTCAGTGGTTTGAACCAATGATGACGTACGTCATTGGCCAATATCTTGCGCATCTTTTGATTGACCGGCCCTTCATTGGATTTTCTGTCCTCATCTGGCCCGATGCGGTGGTGCCCTGCAGGGTCTGGCAGTGGCGTGGCGACAACAGACCCTGGGATGCCATATTCTTGTCCCTCCTGAGCCGGGCCGTCAGTCATGCCGGCCATCGAGTTGACCTCGAGCCGCATTGGCCGTGGCTGTTTAGCAAGGTGCCCCGCTGCTTCCAAACCCACCGCTGGCCCGCTCTTTTGGTGCACACTACATTTCAAACATGTAATCGTAAAAGAGAGAGAAAGAGCTCCCTGGTCGTGTCTCACCTCGCTCATCCATGAACGTGTTTGTTCTCATCTGTAGATCCTGAACAGCTTCAATCTTCCTGTCACGGGCAGCGAGGCGCGTGCGAGGGCCAACTATCTTCCACCCCACATCAATATTCTGGTTCGCCTTGTTGCCCTCAGATTTGAGTTGCTGCCCTACCATTCGTTCGACTGTACCTCCAGTTTCACCATGCACGTCCCCATCTATTGCATCGCTTTTAGGCGCCCTCTGGCTCGCCAGAAATGCGCATCGCATCCATCATTGTGGACACCATTCACAACGAATCCCCCTCTCTGGTTGGTCGCAATGCTGGGGTGCAATAGCCTCGGACGCCTCGGCAGTTTTGCGCCGCGCTCTTTTTTTCGTTTTCGTTTGCCTTGGAGCATTAGCACTTCCTCTGTGGGAGCTGTTGCCTCAATGCCAACTCGTGGGCTTGATTGTAGGAGTACCTGCGTCGGCTGTTGCGCGCTTTTGAGAGCTACTTGCATCCCTCCAACTCGGGGCCGTGGTCCATGAGCATTGCCTCCTTTCTGCAGCATCTGACTTCAGAAATGTGCGCACGGCTCTTTGAGGAAACGTGCGAAGACTGCACCATCCCTCCCAACCGCCGGTATGTGCTGGCCAATTCAAAACCATTCCGCATCCGTCATGCTGTTGACATTAGCACTAGGACCATGGTACTGTCCGCCTCATGCATGCTCTGTACCAGGATGACGCCTGAGCTGCGCCGGCAATTTGTGGAACTCTTGCGCGAGCCCGTCCTGATGCTGCTCTTGGCCAAGAATCTGGTACGTATACAAGCGGGTGCCCGGTGGCTTTGTGCCCCCGGTTCTTGGACAAGGCTGGTCAAGGGTTTTAGACTCGTGCAGGTGCTTGCACGAGCTGCACTCGGTCATTGCCTCACCGTCTCCATGAACATGCTTGATCACAGAGGGTAACATTGAGCATCATGCCAGCACTGCGCAACTTGGCGCACATTTATCCGCCTGCACTCCTGGATGTCATGCTCGAGCGCGTCTACCCCATGCTGCAGGTGCGTGCGCTTGCGTATGGTGCCTGTTGTTGTGACGACTGTGCGCACGCGGCGTGCTTCCCTTTTTCGTGCAAACCGTCGCCGCTTCTGGCCTGGTTGTTGTCCTCACGAGATGACCCGCGTGCGCGCCTGCCGTGATCAGTCCTTGACAGAGTCGCATGGCACCATCGCCGCCCTGGCTTCGTTGAGCATGGTTGCTCGTCCCCTGTGCACCCCCTCTCTCTATGCAGCCGGTGGGTGCCGGCTATAGCTCTTGCGGGTGCAGCTGCTTTAATATCCCACAGTTTTGGGGTTAACCCTTCTCACCGACACTATTTTTTTTTCTTTTCTTTTTTCTTTTGCTTTTGTCCCTCAGGTCGCCAGCACTTGATTCCGTTGCTGCGCATGGCTGTGCCCGCCATCGATCTCAACGATGCCTATAAATCCTCGGCCGCCCTCAACTTTATGAGCAATATACTCGATGGATTGGTACTCGTGGACTGCAGCCAGGGTCCCTTTCCCGCCGACGTGACCGAGGAAGAGCGTGAGTTCTTCTCTGCCACGGCCGAGCTTGAGGAGTGGACCATGGCTGTTCTCCAGCAAATCTTTGCTCTTCTCGAGACCCAGGTGGCCTCCAGTGGCTCTCGGTACAACATTGAAGGGGGCATCTCTGCCCGCGTCATTTCGTTTTGCTTCTTCCTTTTCCAGCAGATGAGTCCGAAAATTAGCGAACAGGCTTCGCGTTTTGTGGTGCGCTGGGTTCAGTCCCACCTCGTACTTGATAACGTCAAGGCCGTGGCACACATTTGCCACTCTGCGGCCCAGGTACAGCCTGAGCTGATGCTGCAGCTTATGGTTCCGTACAGCTGCGATCGCGTGCTCGAGCTCGTCCCCGATGCGGCTCGATGGGATGACACTGGCATTGTCGACGACACACATGCCGATAGCCATCTGCTGTGGCACCTGCATCTTCTTGCGCGCGTCGTCAAGTTTCAGGGCGTTGCCCTGCTACCTTACATGGAGCGCTTGACGGAGGTTTTGGAGGCTTGCTTAGGCCTTGCTTCCAAGCCCGTGGTCGAAGTAGCCATCAAGCTGCTACGTCACATCCTGTTTGCGCTCAGCTCGCCAAGCATCATGGATCGACGTACCGTGCCACCCAGCGTTTGGGCACGGGTACAGGAAGACCCAGTCGCCGTCATGCGGGCTGCCAGTTGCTTGGTGAATCCCAGTGCTACCCCCTTGCCCGTGGATTGCGCTGAAGTGGAAGTCAGCTGGAGCCAGCCCACTGCCGAGACGATGGCGGCCGTTGATAGGCTCGTGCATCGCATCGTCCTGCCCGAAATGGCTTGCCTTCGAGACGGTCTTTTGACTCACGACACCGACAGCGCGGGCGGAAGCATTGCTGACCACATCCGCCATCGTCGGCTTTACCGTGCGCTTTTGATTCTACGCGATGTCGTGCGGGTGGGCCCGGCCATCATGGATATGGAATTCCAGGCGCGTCCCGCTCCAAAACGTGAAGGAGACACACCCCATCGGCGGGTAGAGGAGTCGCACCCCTGGCTCGAGGTTGGCTTTTATGACGTGAGCCGTTGGTCTGGGTGGGCGCTGCGCGCCTCGGATGTGGCCCGCGCTCTCTTGGACGTCTCCCAATACCTTCGCACGCACCGTTCTGATGATGCCCGTGCCATGCGCGCTGCCGTGCACGCGACATACTTTTTCCTGACCACGCGAGGCATGCGCGATCGCAAGCTGCAGCGGGCTCAACATGCCATTGTCAGCACCTCGCTCGCGCACCCCGTGGTGCGCCGCAACCTAACCTCGCGCCCCACAGCAATCAATTACATCATCCTCCTCCACATGCGCCGCCTTGTCACAAACCGGTCGGCGCACCTCGATGTACCACTGAGCGACGAGCTTGTGCGCGAGCTGTTTGAGATGTCCGTGATTGACTACGCCGAAGTTCGCAAGGCCGCTCAAAGCAGCCTCAATTCTACCTTTGCGGCCCTTCCCTTGTGCAAGCAAGATGTTTTTGAGGCCAGCATGCAGTGCCTTGAGGCGGGCACGGCGAGCGGACCGGAGCCCGACGCACCGTTGCGCGATGACGATGAACACCACAGTGCACGCAAGGGGGCGTTGTATCTGCTCAAATCGCGCGCCATGCTCAAGTACATTTGTCGGCACTGGGGCCGCTTGCGTCGGTTGCTACGCGGCATTACGCGCCTTCGTGCGGTAGATCGCGTCTCCATTCAGAACCTGGTGGCTCAGCTCTCCAATGAACTGCACAACCACATATGGATGCGCAGCTACGCTCGCCTCGACGACAGTTGCTGGCAGCGGGCAGTCACCCTGGCCCCTGAACTGGCGGGCCAGGAGGCTGAGTTTGAAGCTGCATGCGTTGAGGCACAGACTTGGGTGGCCAAGGTGAACGACAGCCTACGCGCCCTGAGCAACTTTATCGCAAACTGGCTGAGCCAGGACGATCATCACTGGCGATATGAGCTCATTCTTGCTGATAAACTCGGCTTGCTCATCTTGATGCCCGTGGCCCAGACGCCGGCCGTGTGTCACTTCTTCGTCCAAGCGCTCGCCAGCGCCCACCAACGCCTGCGCATGCACGCGACCTCAACCATGGCCCTACTCCTAGCATCGGTAAAGCGGCCGGCTGAGCGCGTGCCGTATCACTTTGCTGACGGCGAGCTGCGCCCGGGAACGACGACTAAGCCCGACGAACCGTGCGTCCTTACTCCCGGGGTGCGGCCGGACAACAAGGCGCTGATGTATTCGCGGGAGGTGGCGCAAGAGGCCATGGCCAGTGCCGAGGTCTATGATCACCTCGTTTTCATGGATAAAAATTACTTTTCTTGGGCAGGCTACCGGCCCACGGTTGAGTTTTACCGTCCCCTAGCGGAGGCGCCGAGTACCATATTTGCCGATGCGCCCCCTGCGGCGGAGGGCATGGAGACTGACGCAACCTGGTTGGCCGCGCACACCGTGCGCGAGCAGCTCCTGGATCAGCCCGAGCACTTGGAGCGATGGTTTACGTTTTTGTTGATGGAAGCACACGAGGCCGACTCGGCATCGGGGTACCGTACGTTTACGGATAGCATCGCAGACATTTTCAAGGGCCTCTTCCGTAACCACGGACCGGCCGTGTTGACGAGCCTGGATGCCCAGGTGACACGGGTGTTGGCGCAACCGGATAAGCGCAGCCATCAACGCTGTGCCGCTGAGCTCTTTGCAGGTTTGGCACGTGGCCTCAAGCACTGGCGGCATGCCGATGTGCAGCGTGCCTACGAATGGCTGTTGCCCAAGTTGGACACGATGATGGCGGCCATGTCCAACGAGACGGTCTCGTTTTGGGTGCATTTTGCACGCAATGCGATGTATGACCGAGATGCGCGGCGCTTGTTTCCTATGCTGGACTGGATCATGCGCTTTGAGGTGGATCAGAATTCGGGCTTGTCTTCCATGACCATTTGCTCGCGCTTGGTCATGGCGCAGCAAGCCATTGCTGAGCTCAGCTGGCGCGGCGAAGCTTTGTGTGCGGAGACGCTGGAGCGCTTGCGGGAGCAGCTTGAGCACCCCTTTAAGCTAGTGCGTGAACAGATTGCTCTCAGCATCGTGTCGTGCTGTCGAGCCACCAAGCGTTATTCGCTGCCGTGCATGAATGGGCAAGAGGCGGGTACCCCAGCACCGGACTTGGTCGCGGCGACCGTGCTTGCCCTGGTGGAGGCGGCGCAGTCTTTTGTGTCTTCGTCCGAGACAGTGGGGCTGCGAGATGAGGGCGCGGCAGCGTTGAAGACCACGTTGGGTGTTGTACATGCAGGCCTGCGGGAGGCGGGCCTGCTCAACGACATATTGCCTGCTGTGGTGCGCTTGCTGCTGGCCATACCCGAGACGCGGGATGACCCAGAGCTGTTTGAGCTGTCTCAGCGTAGCCTGCGACTGGCATCAGAGACACAGCTCTCTGCGAGTACGGTAAACGCAGTGCTGGACATGTTGCTGGAGGAGTGTGGCCGGGCTTCAGCCAACTGGCACTACCGGCGCCGCCTGCTGCGCTTTGTGCAGGTGATCATGTATCGGAACCTCTTTTCGGTAAATCACGCGGCGATCGAGCAACTGCTGCGGGCACTGCTGTCGGATGAGCACGTCGAGGTACGGGAGGCTGCAGCCGTGTCACTGAGCGGAGCTGTGCGCTGCGGGCTGATTGAGCGCGTGGAGGATCAAGCCATGACGTTTACACAGCTCTTGCCCAAGCCCAAGAAGCACAAGCGTCGCAAGGCGGCAGCGGCTAGTGCGGGCGCCGACAGCACTGCCTCTGACTTGAATCATCAACATTCGGCCCTTCTGGGCCTCCAAAGCCTGGTTCTGGCGTACCCGTACACCTTTCCCGCCTGGATGCCAGAGGTGCTGCTGACCGTGGGTCGCTTTGCGGGCGAGATCGATCCGGTTGGGTACGTTTGGGCCCGCGTGAGATGTGCTAGCCGTGTGTTTTGTGCTTGTTTTTTTTTTTTTTTTTTTTGCGTGGGAGAGGGGATGGGACGGGACGGGACGGGAGGAAAGGTGGCACGAGTGTTGCAGATTTTTTTTGGGAGGGCCCCTAAAAGGAGAAAGGAGAAAGGCGTTTGTATTTTTGGCACGGGAGCTGTGGGGGTCGTTGTCGCTGCTTGTTTCTCATGTGTCGACTGGTGTGTAGGCGAACAGCACGCAAGACGCTGTCTGAGTTTTGGCGCACGCATCAGGATACATGGCACCAAATCAAGGCTTCGTTAACGGAGGATCAACAACTTTTTTTACAGGATTTGCTCATCTCCCCTTCTTATTATGCATAAGAGGCATGGGCGTTGAGAAGCTCTTTTTGCGGCGTCGACGCCGCAGACTGATTGATGGCTTTATCTAATATTTGTATGCTGTTTGGTTGAATACACTGATACACTATGATGGGTGATTGTGAACACGCACGCCATACAACCTCCTCGACTTGTTGGGTTGCGCTGGGTCTGGGTGGTCTGTCAACCTTTTTCTTCCTACATCATTGCGTTTGGTGCTCTGTGGTTGCGGTCGTCGTCTGTAAAATTCACAAGCTTACTCATTGCTTATGCACGCCGTCGACATGTGGTGCGATGGGGGGTGGTATACCGCGACTCCATACCAGTAGAGCAGCAAGGCATGTGTGGTGGTGGTGGGCAGGGAGGGGTGGAAGAAACATGCAAGCCTACCGGGTATGGGGGAGAAGACGCATGGACCAAATACAGGTTGCCATGCTGCACCTTCGTATGGTGGAGAAGGGGGGTGCCCACACCAGCTACGACCAGGGACACTTCCTCTCCGAGGCTTGATCGTGACCACAGCGGTATCGTCAGAAAAAAAAACTCGTACACTTTGCTTGTTGCAGCCGGCGCGGTGAATTTCGAGCCCCAAAATGTCACTGTCTGACATTTTGGTGGGTTGACGTCATCGCGTAAAGTGGTGGATGTTGCTCTCCACTTGACCACTCTTCCACACCGACCGCCCCTTACGAGTGTTTGAATGCCCACAAAATCAAAGTGTCGCGTGGGTTCAATCCCACATTCCCCATAAGTGTATCATAGGCTTGACTGAAAGGGAATGGGAAATTTTCAGACAGTTAGTTTTCCACACATCAAGTAGACAAACACACATGAAGGCAAGCTTTGACCTTGTCATACCATCCACCCCCGCGCCTGCTGCCCACGCTTGACTCTGCTCGCATGGTACTCGAGTGTACACACTTTTCCCTTCACTCACCTCACTCACTCACTCACTCACTCACTCACTCACACACACACTCTCTGGACGACAACACGAGCTGTGCATTTTCTTCTTCTCCCAAGTCGCATCAACCAGCCAACAACTGCCAGCAGCTCAGGAACAAGATCTTCTCAAGAGCACAACTGCCTCATCAACAGCTGCCTCAGCCGCGACCCCGCCACATACTGGTCATCATGCCACGCGCTCCACGTTCAACCAGACGTTCACCAGTGATGCCCGCCGAGGCCGTGTACCAGCGCCCTGTCTCCGCCGGCACGCCGCGACATGGCGGCGGCATCGACTCGATTCCCATGTAAGCTTGGTCAACCCCAATCCATATCCATGCCTCTCAAATGGCTACTTTTAGCCTCAGCATCCTGATGCCATCCCAGGATTGGCCTTCTCACCATACAATGCCTGTTCGCACCACAGGACCTTTCATTTCCCTGGCAAGACGCTGACGGTGGAATTGAAAGACAGCGGCTACGAGCATAAACAAGGCTGCTACTTTAGCATTCATCTTCAGGACTGCGAGCGCTGGCCCAAGAATGCTCGCTTCATCGCTGTCTCCAGCGAAAGCAACGAGACCGTCTTTGAAAGCAGCAGCTACAGCCAGCTCGCCAAGAGTGTCAAACTGTACATGGCCAAGGGACTCAAGGGCCGCGATACGAACGGCCCCTTAAAACACCCTCTGCAACTCGTGGCCATACACAGAAACCGCCAGTTCAAAAGCAAAGCCCTCTTTCACATCCGCAGCAGGCGCGTGATCAGCAAGCAACGCATCGAAAAGAGTACGTCTCGAGCTTTGAGTTCTCGATCCTCAACACCATCGAGTATCCTTACCCGAATCGTTCTCCCTTGTTTGTTTGCCATAGACATTCAGAAGGTCATCGACTCCAGTGGTGGCCGCCAAAGCATGCTTGAAGACCTCCAAAGCTTTTATCACATGGCGACAGAGACCTTGGTGCTCAGGCCTGCCGTTTATGACCTCTTGTCTCATTTTTTTAACAGCAAAATGGAGCAGCCATCCTGGTCGCAATCGGTGCCGGCGCTGCCACCCAGCTTGCAGGACGAGGTTCTTGACGTGCTGCAACTGGAACATGCCAGGACTCTTCCTGTGGAGCGATTGACGTCGGCAACCGGCTTCAATCATACCATGGCTCCTACAGTCACAGGCCAAACCAACACGGTCAACTTCGCTGCCAGTGCTTGTTCCCCTTTGGCGAGTCCGTCTGCCCCCCAGAGCGAGACCATGGCTTTTGACGAGCTACAACGAGTTATCACTCTTCCACCGGAGGGATCGGCATCATCAACCCTGCAATCCACTCCTATGACATTTGCGGAGAGTTTGTTCGCTGCAAGCGCTTCCCCTTTCTACTCGGGAGCCCCGTTTGACCCAGCATCCAGCTTTCATAATTCTCGATCAAGCTATGAGAGCAACACGCCAGACGCGTCGGCTTCATCGCCCATGCTCAGCAACCTGAATACATTTATGCTTCCAGCGTGGCTGGATGAGGACTTTACCTTGTTCAACTAGGCCCCAGGCAAGCTAGGAATACTATCGCATCATATTCTTTCAAGCGTGGAGTGTATAGACACCCTTTGAAATCATTCTTTTTTCCTCGCATTACAATCTAATTGACCCCCTCATCGTGATGACCTATCCCAAGCCCAGTATTGATTGATCCACCAAAAAAAGAACCCCTCCCCCTCCCCCATCGCACAGCGATGGACACTTTAAAAACAAGACAACGTAGGCGCGCCTGTGACTGTTTTCAATTAAAACATACAACGCCGTCCTCTTTGCACCGCCTCTCAGCAGAAGGGTGCAAAATCAAAGTCACTGCTCACGAGACGCCCATCACGCACAAGTAACAGCCACAGCACCCTCAGCCAGCGCATCGTCTTCCGCTAACTCGAAAACAATGTTACTCAACGTTTCGTCCAAAATGTACTCTGTTAACCCAAGTGCCCGCGGCTGCCGCTGCGCCGTAGCGTGGGCTTGCTGACCCTCGCTCAACTGGGTGGCATGCAGACCAAGTCGAAGGCCATAGTAGTACGGCGCCGGCTCTGAACCCAGTGTAGCTATCGCGTGCTGCGTGTCAGGAGCGGCCAGCACCTCACGCAGCAAATTGTCCAATAGCGTGCCAACAGCAGCCACCTCTTGATCGTCCCGAACAGACTCGGTAAACTCCATATTGGTCAGCGGCGAAAACATGCTGCGATCCACATAACTACGCTGCAACACATGCATGGGCAAGTCACGGCTATTGTAGACTCGCACTGAGACGGTAAGGAAGCTGGTATGCGCCTCCGCGTGTGGCGGCACTGGCTCCAAGTCCGCATCATCCGGACCCACTGCAATGGGTGGTAGCGCCTAAGCAAAAGCGAGCGATTTGAAAGCGAAGAAGTCACTTGGTATCACGCGTGACACAGCCAGTCCCACAAAACACAAGCGTCACCTTACATGATAGCGCCCCGTTCGCAAGTCAGTATCAGTCAGGTTGAACACGCGCGTGCCGGTCACAGGTTGCAACTTGACGGTGCCGGATACGGGCCGGCTCTCGCGCAACCCCGATATCTTGCCAGATCCTGGTCCTGAAGAAACAAAGCCACACAACGCACCGAAAAAAAAAAAAAAAAAAAAAAAAAAAAAAAAAAAAAAAAAAAAAAAAAAAAGTCGTGAGAACGTATTAAACATATGATTCTATCACCGCTGACTGCCCTTCCACTTTGCCTCTTGTCCACTTCTCTTGACCAGTGCCTGAACGTACGGGGCTTGACGATGGTTCCTCGAAACGTCTCCGCTGGAATATCAACCCGCGGCTTCGAGGCGCGTCGATTGCCGCCACCCGACACGATTCTCGTGCCGCGCTGCGTGGTTCGCAATGCTCCAGCATGGCCTTTGCCCGTGCGCAGTGTGTCGGTGTAGTCGAACAGCTCCCCTCGCAGAGTACGCTCCATGTCGTTGTGCTGAGCAATGCTCTCGACCCGCTGCTCGTGCGTGTAGTTGTAAGCATGGCATTGCACATCAAACGTATAGTAGCGAGCACCATCGCGTGCAGTCAACGTCAACTTGCAAGGTACGCTTTCACCCGGCATGACCTCGCCTGTTCGCGGCTCGGCCTCCATCAGGTGAGCAAAGGCGCCAAAGTCCCACTCAAAAGACATCACGTCCGTGGGGTGCACATTATTGACAAACACAATCTCGCGCATCACCGCGTACACGGGCACGTCGGGCAAGCGCCAATGTGCCAAGCTCAACTGCAACATGGCTTCGGGCAGGACAAGACTTGTTGTTTTTGGTGCAGTCGCCAAAATCTTGTGCCCGGCATAAACGTCATCATCATCATCATCATCATCATCATCATCATCATCATCATCCTCGTCCGCCTCCTCGTCCTCATAGACCCCAGCGGTGCTGGCGTCGTCGTTGATCCCAACATTCATGCCCGCTTTCCCTTGAGGTGCCAGGTCACCTGCTGTATCATCATTTGAGGGTCGGTGAAAAGCGCCCAAGTCAGATGCCATCGTCGCAATGCTCTCCCGTACCGAATGTGCCGGAGGCACGCCCGGGTCGCCCCCCAGAACACCACCACGAGGATCCACGCCACTCAAGGTCAAAGTCATCGGTACAACATGCTCCACGCCACCAGCTAGACAATGAACTGGGACGGACACCTTGTAGGCCCGAGACTGCAATGGTCGTAGGCGCCAGGGAATGGCAAAACTTGCCCCAGCCCTGACGACACCCGATGGGCGGCCGCACTCGAATACATCAAATCCGTGGTTCTGTGTCCTTAGTTGATCAAGTTCGCTTAGATCAAGCCAAAATTCAACATCAGCAGCCGAAGGATTGTACAAAGTCGAGTGTTGCAACGGGGCCTGGTGCTGGCCCAAAGGCACTGGTTCAAAAACATGGTCCGTGTTATCCATCGCCAGTAGACCCTGACCACTCGGTAGTGTTTGAGCTTTGAGCTCCATGACGACATCCGAGTCGCTCTGGTCGTTGTGAAGCAGGAGTGGCAGATTGTGCTCTCCAACTTGATCATGCTGGTAGCGCACCGTAAGGACAACGCTGCTGGCGGGAGCCAGAGTTCCGCGCTTTGGCGCGACGGCAAACAGGCCAAGCTGTAGGATTTGCGCACGGCGAGCCTCCTCCTCCGAGATGTCGTCTCGTGCAGCCCAGAGCTCAGGTTGCCATTCTAGGTCGTCGGGAAGGGCCACAAACCAGGAACATGCGCAAGAAGACGTGTTGGTCAATCGTAGTTGAACGATAGACTCCGACGCCAAATGCGGTGCAGCGCCCAGGTCCAAGCAAAAGTTGTCATAACGCGGTAGGACACGATTGGGAGCTGGATTGAGCGCAGCATTGACAGCCGGCACGTCAAAAAGCCGCCATAGACGAGTCAAGCTGCACTGATTTGCGGCAACGTCGGTAATGGCCAGCTTGGGCCGAACGCCCTGGTATCGAGCGTTGAGGAGGTGGCAAATTCGCACTTCATCGCCATCGTCGTCGAGAACGTGTGCAGTGAGAGCGAAGTGATCTGCCCCCTCATGCGTGGGGTGGATACGCACGTTGCAATGGGCCACACCATGAGGCGCCAACGTCAGTATTTCTGCAAGGGGTTGAACTGCCGAGCCACCCGTGTGCTCGATGCGTGCTGTCACGGTTGCGGGTGTCCGATTCCGCAGCACCAATGGTGCTAAGTGGGGCAAGTGCAAGGCAAGTTTTCCAAAATCGTGCTCGAGCTGCAAACCTTCCATCTCGAGGCGAGGCTCAACAACAGATGCACGAAGCGGAACCCGGAGCTGCATGTCCCGCGCTTGAGGCCCGCGCGTGGCTACCGCAGCGTTGTATGTCACCTCCAGATCGGCTGTGACGGGACCGAGCTCAGCACCCAGATATGTGATGACGACCTCAGCAGCTTCATTGGCCTACCGAGCACAAGCGATTCCAGAAGCAAGGTGGGTCAGGACGCAGCATACATCAACGAGTGACAAACCCTCAAGAGAAAAAAATACCATATATTCACCTCAAGGCACGTGTCGTGCACACCTGTCGGCTGATGGGCTTACCTCAAGTAGCAATTCTGTAGGCTCTGCAACAAGAGACCCGCTGGGCAGCGTAGGAACTGTGACCGTGGCCCGGGATGGGACGCTCGACAGATTGCGCAGCGTTAGACGACTGCTGGCGCGGCACTCTGGCATGGTAGGTGGAAGGACGACTGTTGAGACATTGGTGATGAGCAACGGCTCGTGTGAACTGCCGCTGAGACTCAAAGCACGCAGTCGAGTATCGTTGCCACCGTGTTCGTGAGAAACACCGGTCACCGCGGCTCCACCATTGCCCCCCTCCATGAACAAATGTGCCGTAACTTTAAAGGGAAGGTCAAGCTGCCAGTGACCTGCGGTGGCTTGGCGCACGCCGATGCACAACATCGCTTCGGCCCCGGGCGGCAAGGACAGATTGGCTGGCAGAACTTCGAGGTCGAGCGTGGGCGCACTGGCACTGACATCATAATCAAATGTGATCTCAAAGGTCAAAAGATCATGAGGGTTGCGCACGGGCACGGACACCCAGCTTCGCTCGGAGACATGACTCAGCGGAAATTCGAGACGCTCGCAGTCAAAGGGGGACACATCTTGAGCCTCTTGGTCTTCAGCGTCGTCTTCATCGTCCTCAACCTCCTCCTCGGTGTCGGCTGCAACCGGCTCTGGGGTGCCAGGGGCAAGGGTCGTTGCCATGAGCAGCAACTCAAGCTCCCAAGGCGGGGTCCACAGCTCTTTGGTCCCTTCCTTGCCTCCATCAGCTTCAGCCGTGACTTGGCGCATGTCAAAGGCCTCTTCGTAGCACGCCGTGGCCACAATGGAGGTGTGATAAACTTGGTCACCCTCATGCGGTCGGCAGGAGACAAACAGCTCAACCTCTGCATGTCCTTCCACCACCAGACTCTCAGGCTGTTCGAGTGCAAACGGCTGTCCGGGGCCCACGGGTGGCAAGGCATGCCAAGCGCAGCGAATGCGGTGGGGGGTGGTATTGATCAGGCGAACCGGGCGGGGTGCAATATCGGCGACCTGCTTCTTGGATCCGTAGGGCACGGCCCCAAAGTTGACCACGGCTGGCAGAACGGAGAGGGGCTGAACCAATGAGCGGTAACTGAGATGTCCCCCTGGTTTGGTGGGGGGTCCTCCCACTAGCGGGGAGGCCACGGCGCTCGCGCGTGTTGCGGCAGCGGAAGCAGCGTTGTTGGGCAGAAGGGTTGCACCGGCTATAGGCGTCAATCAACGGCCGGGTTCATGAGTTCCGGAAAACAACAACGGCAAATGGCAAACAACAAGAGCGTGCTGAAGTCACTCGCACATTTACCTTGGCCAGCGCGGGTATCATCGGACAAGCGTCGCCATTGGCCAGTTCTGGCATCCAAGGACAAGTGGCCCTCACGCATGGCAGCCTGCAGGGCGAGAGGGCTGTGGTGACCAATGTCACGGGCACGGTGCATGGCAACCTTCTGCAAGGTACCATCGGCATTGAGCGCCTCGGGTGCACCAGCACCGTGGCAGGTCACGAGGACAGGTGGCCCCTGCGAGGCGGCCACGCGCAGCTGATGAAAGTAGGGCGCGGGCGATGTGGGGGCGAATGTCACGATGATTTCTGCCTTGGCGAGGGGTGCAATTTCCAGCTTGCTAGGGGTTGCACGAAAGGGGCCAGCATCTGGTTCAGTGAGAAGACAGGTCAGTGGAAGCGTGCCATTGTTGAAGACGCTGAGGCTGTGCGTGCGCGATTCCCCGGGGACGCAAACGCCAAAGTCGAGGTCATCTTGATCGACCACCAGGGCGCACGAGGGGCGGTGGGCGTGACAGACCACCTTGAAGAGTGCACCGCCGCAAATGCGAATGGCAAACTCTTCGTGGCAGGCGGTGACGTTGGGTCGCGGCGCAAAGGTCAGGCGTAAAGCCAAAGTACCGCGTGCGGGGATGCGACCGGTATTGCCGGCCACGTGCAGGCAGCTCTGATTGAGAAAGTGGTGTTCAATGTCGTAAGTCACCTCCACGGGCGCATGATTGCGAAGAACGACCTCTTTGGTCGAAGTGACCCCCAGTGGGATTTCGCCAAAGTCAAGTTCAACGAGATGGTCCACAGGGTTGGTCAGGTCGTCGGCAGATTCGAGCGTGACGAGAGGCAGGACACCAAGACAAGAAATGGGCACGGGCAACACGCCGCGCGCCTTGACGGCGTCATACTTGACCACCAAGTCACCCTGATATCGACGGGCCAGTGTCGGCGCACAAGTGACGGTAACGTTTGCGGCTTCACCGGGTGCGAGCTCGCCAAATTCGGGCTGTGCCTTGAAAGGATCGGGTGTGAGGACGCGCCAGGTCAACTTTTGGCTGGTTGGATTTCGAATGCTCATGTCACACGAGCATCGACGCTCGATGGCCACTGGGGGTAATTCCACAGAGCTGGGAAGCTCGGGTCGAAAGTCTGGTGCCAGGCCTTGAAGAGTGACGGTGCCGACTTCAGCGTCTCCTTCCCAGATGACAAGAATGGCCTTGGCAGCGGATGGGTCCTCCGCCTTGTCCTTGTTGGCATCCCCATTGGGGGAGTGCCGGGTGCTCGTAGTGGAGGGCCGTGAGTTTGCAGGGGTCTGTGTGGTCGAGGGGCCGTTTGTCTGCGTGCCCAGATCAGGCAAGTGGGCGGGGTCAAACCGGATGCCAACCTTGACGTCACTCCCAGCACCCAGAAAGTGGGCTCTC